AGGCAGAGGCCAAGCCACCCATGTGCCATCTGCCATCAGCGTGCTCAGGTCAGGGCAAGCCCAGGAGAGCCACTGAGGTGCAGAAGGCATTTTGGACACGCGCTTCATCCTCCGTTAGGATTGACTGCGGAAAAATGTCAGCCTCAAGAGGCTTGGGCCAAAAAGAGGTGTGTGGAGCCAGGAAGTGTTGGGCTGGAAGTGAGACGCAGTTTTAAGAACAGTATGAAACACCCTGTCAACTACCCAAACAGGGGCGTGTGGCTGTGGTCAGGAAAAGCCTGTATGTAATTAATTCAGCATGTGCTTGTGGCAAGGTGCACAAGTGCTGCTACAAAACTGCAACTAAAGCAAGTATCAGTCCGGAATTAAGGGCTAATGCTATCTTATTTAGGAACACACATAACCTGTGTGGTGCATGTATGCATTATTAGGTTACCTGATGAAAATAGCAACTTGTCCTACTGAAGACTCAGTAAAAATAAATGTAAGGGAGGGCACGTAAGAGCCGCGCTGGATGGGGAGGAAGAGGAAAAGGCCTCATATTATGAGGTCCTCGATAAAGAAGATAAATTAGTGAGGCTTATGGAGAACGACAACCTCTGTTTTGGTTATAGAATGACCTGTGTGTTGTTGGACACACACAGGCAACGGGGCTCTGGGGTTTTGTGGTTTGTATGGGTATTTCTTGAGAAAACTTACGGGAATAGTATATAAACATACATGCATGTGTGTGTGTGTGTGTGTATGTGCGCTCCTACAAATGCACATGTACATACAAATATAATTATATAGAGTGTGTGCATATATATGTAGTATATAATATATATAGTGTAAATATAAATAGTTCTACTTCATGTGTCATGATGAAAGAGCTACTACTAAAAATCCACACATAAAATAATTGCGTAAAAATGAGGCTGTGCTCCTTTCATCTTTGACTTACATCCTGCATGAAGCAGCTCTTCTCATGCCAGTCAGATGTGCTTAGGCACACAGGATGATTAAGATTATTTGGATTATTGCCACCACAATAACTGTGATGCTCTAAAGGGGCTGAGAGCTGATGTGGTGACCAGATGGCCTAAGAAAGACCTTTGTAAGTAGAATAGCAGAATGTAAAATTTTAATAAACAAGAAAAGAAGAAAAAGCTTTGCTTACCGTTAAATGCCCTTAAAAGTTTGAGTGCATAGGTCCACCAGACAGCCGGGGAAGGGCTGGCTTGCACAAAGCAGGTCAGAGTGACGTTCAGCCCCACCGGGACCGTCAGGTTGGTGTCAAGGGCTGTCGTCAGCGGCTTCTTGCAGCTGTTGAGCTCCACTTCATGAAAAAACTTCCCTGCCCTGAATTTTGGGCTTGAGCAAGTTAAATAGGAATTCATCAGAATAATGGGTGGGCCGACTGACTTAATAAACTGGACAAATCCCCGCAGCCGACAGTCACAAATCCAGGGATTGTCGTGAAGGGCTAGGACGGCGTTGGAAATAGCTTCTATCTGCCCCTCCGCCCTCTGGCTTCTCTGGTAGATGGGCCAGCTATAGAAGACATCCTTGGATATGATGGTAAGCTGATTTGAGGATAGATCTAAATAGGTCAGGCTGGGGAGATAGCGGAGTGCATGTTCTGGAAGGACATCCAGCCGGTTGTGCTTCAGATCCAGGATTTTCAGAGCCGGGGTGTCTTGGAATGCTGTCCATGGCACCGAACCTAATTTGTTCCCTTGCAAGCGCAGCTCCTTCAGAGCCGGCAGATATTCCAGGCTCTTGATGTGCATCACCGTGATGTTGTTAAAATTGAGCCAGAGATACTCCAAGGCACTGATGTTCTCAAAAGACCCACGAGGCAATTCTGTTAGGTGGGAATTTTCTATTCTAATTTTCCGGATGTCCTGGGGGATGTTTGTAGGGATCTGCCTCAGCAGCGCAGACATGCAGAGCAAACTCCTACGGAGGAAACCAGAAAATTCTCCAGGTCACACACCACGTTCATGGCTAACAAACCAGTTCCCTATACAGGCCTACAGGCACTTGAATAATTGTAAGGTATTGTGTGCAGGGCATGCATAAGCCATCCGTCCTTCCCTGGGTTTTACACCCGTTTTCCCACAAAGGATACAATTAAGTCATAAAAATTGCTATGTATGCAACCACATATCTCAGGGAAACAAGAGAAACCTCATTCTATGCTCAAGCTAGTACTATTCAAGTATCAGAGGAGGCATACCATGCGGCCATCTGTTTGGGTTTGGTGCTCACATCATCGGCAAATATATAGTGGGACTCTCCGAGCTGCTTCGCTGGTGCTATGACCAGGGTAAGTCGCTTTCTTACCTTCCAAAGCTGTCTTGAGAACAAGAGCATCCCGTGACACAAGACGAAACAGATGGGTTTATCTTGTGGAAGGCCAGAAGAAGAAGAAAAATATGACAAATAGGGTCCATATTCTGCTTTAAGAAAGCACTGTGCAGGGTTTGCACCAAACATGCCAACAGCCTCCAAGAAGCAAATCCTATTAGCGGTAATCTTCCTTGACGCAGAAATAAATCCTGCTGGGGACCCAACCCTAAAGAAAACATGTAGTATGGTTCATAGCCTGTGTCAAAGTGCTAAAAACCACCCCTGGGACCACGCCTGGCATTTATTCTTTACCTGCAGGGTTTCTGACAAACATGTTTATTTGGTTGATAATATGAAGATGGAGCCAAAACCACTTCTGTTCCCAAACCCTTGCAAGTAGTTAACCAGGCCTATTTACTTTTTTCTTTTTGATTTCAAGGGGTCTGTCTCAATCTCCTACATTTCAATGACATTCATCAAGGCAGAAAACCACAGTAAGGGCCGGACTTCACAGCTGTATTTAGTCAGCGCACAGTGCCGTATTGCACAACCCATGGGGCCCCAAAAACCTGCCCGCAGCCCTGTGCAGGGTGTACTATTGCACATGGTGAGCGCGAAACCTACTCCCCAAACTTAGTTGTTCTGTCACGGAAACAGAAGTACAGCGCTGTTTTTCCTCTGAAACAACTTTTTTTCCCCCTACTATCTCCATTCTTACACGGTGGTAATGAAAACAGTAACATAGCTGTAGCCAGTCCGTGGGCTTCTCTGAGAAAAGAGTATGCTGGAAGTTAATCTCTGTTGCATAAATATAAAATTCCAGTGCTGTTCTCTGGCTTCCCCGTAAGACATGTGCCCATTGCCTTTCGGTCACCTTGAAAAACTCAGTCTAAATGAGAAGAGATTGGGAGAAACCATATTTATTTATCTTTTTTTAATCCAAAATAGCAGGTTTCGGTTATAATTTCCAAGCAGCGCTGCGTTCTCCTGGGGCCATCTAGCGTGTATGGGCTTCATTACAGCCCGCAGAAGGCAGCATGCCGCCAGAAAAGGGCTTAACCTCACTGCCGGTACGTGTGAAGCTGGGTCACAAATCAAGATTAGCCTGAACCTACTTAACCTCTAACCTACGGGACCAGGATAGAAGAATATTTATAGCGTGACGGCTTAGATCTATACATGGCTGTCGGGGCGTGTGCAATTGTGCGGCCGCAGTAAGCCTACAGAAGACGTAGGATTGATTCTGCAGCTTTTAAATCGGAAGGTGCTTTGATTTCAAGGCAAAACAGCAAAAACGAACCGGTGGGGAAACCGCCGGGGACTGTTGCAGCGCTTTGTGATTGCCTCCCGTGTACAAGCAGCGGGTCGCAAGTAGTGGGCCTGTTGAGCTACCGTTCCTCGCTATGCCCAGCGTCTAACCACGAGCGTATGGGATTTTTATTTTTATTTTTTTTTTAAATGAAATGTTCCTTAGTTGTCCACGGTGCAGCACTTGCTATTTCAACAGCTGCCCCACATTTTAACATGTCAGTAAGCCGTGAGTGAAGGAGAAAGGCTGCCGGTCTGTAGCACGGCAGATGCAGCAGCTATAAATCCCCCACCTGACTGTGGTGGCCGCTGGGGACATTTCTTGGTGAAGCTGTTGCTGTTGCAGTGAGAGTGGCACCAGCACAGACCCCGTGAGCTGAGGCAGAGGCTCCTTACGCACTTTCAGCGTAGCTTCAGCAGCGAAGGGGCCACCCATCCCCGGGGCTGGCGGGCTAAACCGGGAGTGCTGCAGAAGCGACACCGGCAGCTGCGATGGGAGGATGTGTCCTTCCCGCTCATCCCTCAGCCGCCGAAGCAGAGGGCCTCGGGGACCCCACGCCCACCCTGCCTTGGCACCGGCCCCCGGGGACACAAATGCCACGCTCACCAGTGCCTTTGGTCCTCTTCTGTAGCCTGCCATTGAAAGATTCCCTAATGAAACATCATTATTAGTGTTGTTGTTATTATTATTATTAATTATTATTAGAATATTTTATACTTTTACACTTTATTATAATGCCTGATATTATTACTTGGTAATAACAGTAGTAAACTACACACAGCGCAGTTAGTTAGGAGATAGCTGGGAGTCAGGAGCAAACCTGGGGTTTGCCCATGTGTGCGCTGCAGGGTCTGGGAGAGAAAAGCTTTCAGCAGAGGCAGAAGAAAACCAACGTCTTGATGGTGTTCAGCGTTAGAGGTGATGGGGCACCTTCCCGTGATGGGAGAAATGGCTGAAGTCCACCCAGGTCATTGGCTTGTCCAGTCACGTTGTCCAGGCCTTCACAAGGTGATGGTGATGCCCATCAGTGTGAGGGAAAACTACTCGCCTTGTGAGCTGCACACATGCCACCGGCGAGGCCGCGGGGTTGGGACGGTTTGGTCGTCTCCGGCACCAGGCGGGCCAGCGGCAGGGATTCACCTCTTCTAAGGCCCAACCTTGCAAAAAAACCTCCTTTGCTCTCAGGGAAGGAGCCTCCTTTGCCACCTTCACAGCCCGCCTCCACGGCCCGCAGGGAGGGTCTTAAAGTACGTGGCAGCTAAGTCACGTCTTCAAAAAAATCTTTCATGAAAAGCATTATTTATTAACAGGTTTATATACGGAGTAAAAACAATTGGTGGTGTGCCCCCCACGTACTTCTCTGGGGACAGTACAGGTACAGAATAATGCCCAATGTGCTGGGATGCAGCAAGTAAAATTTCACCCAGGCTTCTCTGTTAGAAAGAAATAAATTAATTGAAATAAAAGAGTTGATTAACAGAAAAAAAAAAAAATGAATTGCAGTTGCTTTGTTTCTCCCACGTGAGCTCTCCCCCCAGTCCCACCTATCTTCTACGAGGCTGGAAAATGGCCTTTCAAAGAGTGGTGTCAGTCAGTACCACGGGCCAATGCTCCGGCTGTTTTCAGGCTGATATTTATTTGCTGCTTGAGAGGCCATTTCTCTAAATATTCCCAAACCCCAGGTGTACTCAGAAGGTTCAGTATTATCCTGAGAAACCAGTGGTGAATTACTTATCAAAATCAGACAAATTAGTGGGTAGAGAGTCTACCCACTCTCTAGGGTAGAGAGAGGCAGGGAAAGAAAAGAAGGGAAAAAAGAGTAAAGGGGAAAAAAATCCCCTAAACACCATTAGCCACAGCCGTTATGTTTATGTTCCCTACTGGAGTGGGATTTTGTTGCCTTTTTTAATTCAGCCCAGTTTATACCTGCCTGTAAATTTAATGGCCACTTTTGTGACAGCAGATGTCCACTCAGTTCGGCTGCTCTTTAACGTCATGTGGCATCCTGGCCGAAGCCAAAATGCAGAACAAGCTGTCTAAAACCCAAGCTGCCAAAATAAATCTCCATAGAGATATTGTCTGCTAATCTATGGGAAGTGGAGTTTAAGAGACTGCTCTGATTGCCAAAGCAAACGCCGAAAGGATGCCCACTGCGTGCTCCCAGCAATGGCGAGGGAGTCAAACTCCGTCTCGAAACGACGGGCACGCACAGCTCTGTAAGAAATCAAGTCCAGGCTGATGCTTTACAGTTACAGTCCCTCTGCCGGGGCTCTCCGCGTTAGAAATCCCTGCTGGGGAGGACATACGGGGTGAAGGCTGCAGTTGGGTATTTCGGATACGGTGCACGTAACACCAAATGGTACAGGCTTGAAAAAGCAGCTTTGAACAAGAGGAGGGTGACGTGAGAAGAGATAAATAAGACTTTTCCTTCACACGCCTTCAACAACAACAGCAGCTGTACAAACTTGCCAGTCTTTCCCCAATTTTTTTGAGTAACCCAACGGCCCTGGCAGGGTCCCCTGGGGCACCACAGCTCCAGCTCCACCGCAGCAAGTCCCACAGAGAGCTGGCAAAGGGGCATCACCCGCCTCCTTTCACCCTCCGGAGGAAAGGAAAGGCTTCGTCTCTTGCTCCGGGCACCTCAGGGCAGGAGCAGAGTCCGTCTCCGACGCCAAAACCAGGAGCCAAGGGCCAGCACGCTCCCGTGGGGTGCGACTACGGGCGCAGCAGCTCCACGTCACCGCCAGCAGCCCCCGGCCCTTGGGAAACGGGCCGCGCTCCGAGGCTCGCTGCTGCCTCTGAGAAGCTCCTGGTCCTGCTCTCTGGGGTCTACACACTTGTTTCTCATCACTTTGCTGGCAATTGCAAAATTCTTTCTTTTTAATTTTGATCAATGGGAAAGGAAAATGGGGGGTAATTCTTTTGCTCTGTTTTGGGCAACAATCGGTGTCTTCTGTTCATGGACTTTAAAGCTGGTGAAGCTCCCGCTAAGCCGCAGTACTGTAGCACTGACTGTTGATTAAATACGACCTGAAACTTTTCAGACATTCCCAGAACACTCTGACATTGAGGGACTTTGATGTCAGCTTCTTCAGGAGCTTTTTAACCTTTAGATTTTATTTTACCATTGGAATACTTTCAAAGTCATTCTTCAATTTTTTAAAATATCTTGAAAAATGTTTTACTGTCCTTCTTGACATTTTTGGGTTCTTCATTTTTTTTTTCACAAATTTATATATCTATGCACATGCACATTTTTGCGTCCTACATTTTTTAATCATTTAAAAAGATCTTTTAGTCTATTCTTTCTGGGCACACAGAAATAAATGTGAAAGTGACCACACTTAATGCAATTCTAACCTTCCAACATGTTTAAGTCACATTGTGGAAATAAGGTGTTTGTCAGCCCGAACATTATTTTGCATTTGTGGCATTAAAAATATTTGCAGAGACTTTATAATTCAGAGCCAGTATTAGCCTTTGTCTGGATCTACTCATCAGATAATCTGGACACTTCAAGATGTTTGGAAAAACATATTTCAAAGCCTCAACATGGTTTTTTTACATTTCTTCTTGCACTTCAGCTACTTGCAGTAGTCCTTTTTAATCACTTTGGGCACATTATTTCATTTATATTCTGCTCGGTTCCCTCATTTTGATAGCTGCTTTTCTCCAGATCCTTCAGAGAAAAAGAAATAATAACAATTTTTCAGTACAGTTCAGCGCTATTTGGATTCATTTTTAAAACACGATTACCTTCTTTTTTAATCCTTATCCTTAATTTTTCAATTTTACACTAATCTGATTTCCAGACTAAGTATAAAAAGATACTGTGGAAGGAGGAGCTTGTCATTGTTATACGTGACATGAAGTGCCCGTTGAGGAGTGGCTCGTCCTGCTCTCCAAAGCGCTCAGCCCAGGCAGCCGGTGCAAACCTCCTGCCTAACGCGGGTGGACAGGTACTGTATTCCTAAGTATTACTGAAGTGGTCCAACACTCACCTGAGAAGAAATTTTTAAATGGTTTAATAGTAAAAGCGGGGAACATTGTACTCCAAGAGATTCCAAAGTAAGAGATTGCTTGACAGTGCCAAAATATTTGAAATAGACCCCAAAAAGCAACAAATTGGTCAAAACCTGGCACAAAGAGATTATTAATAGAGGAAATGTTTTCCAAGGAAACATTTTCCAAGGAAAAAGAAAGCCGAATAGAACAAAGTGTCAAAAAAAAAATATTTAAAATGCTACGAATGCAGTAATTCCAAAGGATATTCAGGTGTTCGTTTCGGTTCTTACAGCACATGTCTGTCCAAGGATTGACTTTAACCGAGTAAGAAATTGTTTCCAGGGATGAATATTCTCCTTGCCTGAACTCTGAGCCAGCTCCATTCACATGCCTTATGACCAGAGAGGGAAGCTTGCCTGAGCTAACCCTGCTGAAACTAGGTGCCTAATACCCCTTCGGTTAAAACAACAACAACAACAAAAAATCCAGTGAGGTATTTACCTGTCGCTTTACATGCCTCATACCACTAAAAATCTGACCCAAAGCTGTGCTGGTTTTGGCTGGGACAGAGTTAATTTTCTTCCCCGTAGCTGGTACGGGGCTGTGTTTTGGATTTGGGCTGGGAACAGTGTTGACAACACAGGGATGTTTTCGTTACTGCTGAGCAGGGCTGACACAGGGTCAAGGCCTTTTCTGCTCCTCACCCCACCCCACCAGCGAGCAGGCCGGGGGGGCACAAGAAGCTGGGAGGGGACACGGCCGGGACAGCTGACCCCAACTGACCCAAGGGATATCCCACACCATATGGCGTCATGCTCAGCACAGAAAGCTGGGGGAAGGAGGAGGAAGGGGGGACGTTGGGAGCGATGGCGTTTGTCTCCCCAAGTCACCGTTAGGCGTGATGGAGCCCTGCTGTCCTGGAGATGGCTGAACACCTGCCTGCCCATGGGAAGCAGTGAATTAATGCCTTGTTCTGCTTTGCTTGCGTGCGTGGCTTTTGCTTTCCCTATTAAACTGTCTTTATCTCAACCCACGAGTTTTCTCGCTCTTACCCTTCCGATTCTCTCCCCCATCCCACGGGGGGGAGTGAGCGAGCGGCTGGGTGGGGCTCGGTTGCCGGCTGGGGTTAAACCACGACAAGAGCCTTGAAAGTCACATTCAGCAGAAAATCAGTTTACTTAATGGTTTGAAATTTCACCGGCGGTTTAGCAAGTATAGGGTTTCTCTTCTGACCGACAGCAGACGACACAGAGCTCATACAAGTTTCTCTCTATTGCCTATCTTGTGTGAATCACCAGTGCAGTACAGAGAGAGGCTTGTTTTGGAGCAGCAGCAGTTGAGCGCTAAACTGTGATGCCTCACCGATGTGACACTGAGAATACCCATAGGAAATAGAAAAGAAAAATCACGTTTGTTCTACTTGGGGTCGCTATTTATTCAAAGTGCAAAAAAATATCCAATAGAGTCTGTAAAACTTAACACATCCGCAGTGAATGTGGCAGTGTGACCTCTCCATCCTCCCCTCCCCGCAAGCAAAGAGCGACGGCGCTGGCCCAGCCGGTGCCTTTTCCATTCCCGACTTACAGACCGTGTGTCGGAGCATGCACCAACGGAGCGGGCGAGAGCTGCTCCTCTCCCAGGGCTGGACGCGGCAAATTACGCAGCTCATGCCTCCGGGCAGCCGAAAGGTAAATACCTCCCGTTCCCAGTCAGATCCTGCAGACCTGACTTACAGGAAAGTCCTTGGGCGGTAGGTCCGCTCCACTGCAGGAGAGCTTTAGGATAGTCTTGATCCTTCAGGGCTAGCTTAGCCATCCAGGGCCATGTCAGGCTGATTTCTGCGCAGCCCAGTGATAGGGCTGCAGATGTGGGCAGGAATCAGGCTCAATAATACAGCAAACCTTGCAACTCATCCCAAAAACTGCTACTGGAAGAATATTTTTGTTCTACCTTGGAGAGAGACTCTAAAAATCATCCTGGGAAATGCAACTGTATAAATAATAGATGTTACATACTACATGTATCATCAATTAATTTGTTGTATTAAAATACATAATTTTGCAAAATGTTAACTGTAAACCTAAAAATCTATGCAGTCCAGAGATAGAAGTAGCATGCATTATTTTATACAGGGATTGACAAATTCTCCCAATACAAGAGAAGTTCTTTATCATTAATGTAAGGAATACAGGGAGTCCTATCAGAAACTATTGTAATGTATCCCCTGCTGCTAGTATTTATGCTGAGATCAAATGACTTGCTTTTTCCATCAGGCCAAGTAATCTGACATAACTGAAAGGCTTCTGTACAAGGAGGACTTGCAAAATCCATACAGGGCTCCGTTCCAACCAGTGAATTTTGTTAACCCACACTGTACATACACATCCAGAATGTGAGTGGAGATCCTTCCAATAAATTTACAAATACACAGTTCAAAACAATTCAGCAAGCCTTCTCAGTTATCATTTCAACTTGGCTGGATCCCTCCCGTTCAACATTTGGCAGAACATATAATTTTCTTCGTGAAGAATATTTATTACAAAGAGAAAAACATTATATACAGTATTACTACATGAGGGACTGGAGTGGAAAATTATACAGCTGGGAAGTGCTTTGTGATAAGCACTCAGATCCAAATTCCAGTGGAGCTGCAGGACTTAAATAACTGATTAGCTCACCCTGGCTACGAAAGTACATTTAGATTAATATTAGACAGGGGTTTTTTCAGGGTTCTTGAACTTGTAAGATGTTTGAAACCCAAAAGTCCGCACTGAGCCTCTGCCACCACTGATGCCATGGTGGAAGTCTGGCTGATGTGTGCCTGGCCAGCGGTCTCCCACAGCATCACACACCCCTGCTCTGCACGGAGCAAGGTGTTTTCATGACCAAACCTCAAGTGCCTGGCTGAGCCCTCTGGTCTTCACCACCAGTTTTGTCAGGAGAGCCGGCAGCAATGACGGGGCTGGTCTGGGAGGTTTTTGCAGAACTGTCTCATGTAGGTTTTTCAGCATGATTACAAAGCATTACAACACCTTGCACAATTTGCAGAGTAGGATATTGTATGATTTTCACTAGCACAGATGACATAAAACATACTCTACTCATTACAACACAGCTAGAAAATGCCAGCTAGGCCTGATACCGAAAGGCCTGCGCGGTACTGTTGTTCAAGAAAATCTTAAGAACAGTGTTTAGGGCCAAAATGCAATCACAAAACACTCTCTATTATGTATTCTTAGGAGTGGATTGGGTTTTGTCTCTTGATTTCTACTTCCTTTGCACATTTCTCTGAATTCAGAGCATAGAGCTGTTGTCATGTTGGACACGCTAGAAAGGGTTGCTGTACATCTGCGTTCAGTGATCTATTAAGCATCAAGCTGCATGTTTCATGCAAACATGGGGGATGTAAAAGGTGAGACTCTCAGTCTTCACCTTCATAGATATTTATATTAAAATCACTAAACACTCCCCTGTTTGTCAACCAAAAGAACATCAAAAGAGCTGAGAATAAAATACTTAGCATATTGCAGAGCAGGTACTAAACAACACCAAGCAGAGCGCGCTCAGAAATGTTGCTTAATGTCCTCACACTCAGTGTGCACGCTTCATTTTACAAAAATAAAAGTGGTCCAGGAGAATGAGGCCATTATCACAGAAGCTTTTGACCGGGTACAAAACAGCAAATCCCAAGTGGGATGAGCAACATGTTTCTGTAAAGCTTGGGCACCGTCTAGCCTCTTACATCCTCCTCCAGAACATGTCAGCGACAGAAGCATTGACAGGGTGGCCGGCAATGCTGGAGCAGAGAGTCGTATATACAGCCACGTGCTTTCCACCTCGCAAGCCGACAATCAGCCTAGTTACTATCAGCAAAAGTATTCGTTAGGTTGCCCCTCTATCTTTGGTATTGCTTCTGAGTCCACGCTGGATCGGGCAGACAGCAGCCTGTTTGACTCATCGGGGGTATGTCTAGTCAAGTATTCTCCTTCCACGCCTTTCGCCTTGGCCCCAGGAGACAGGCTTTCAAAGGTGACATAGGACTCCTGAATTTCCTTGGGTTTCCGCGCAAAGCATTTTTTGCAGCGCCTTTTCAGTGCTCCACAGCAGACCACCAGCGTCAGAGGAACAGCAATGACACAGGCCACGCTGATGACAACCACGTTGATGAGCTTCTGGGTCCCTCCTGCGCTGGCAACTTCGTCTGTGGAAAATATGATGCATTGCTCCTTCTTGGGGATCAGCCCTTTCACACAGACACACACGATGTATTTGGTCTTTGGCAGCAGCCCATAAATGGTGACCTTGGTCTTCCCTGGCTCCACGTTGATCCGCCGCATGTCTCTCTCCCCAAAGACGGCATAGAGGACACTAAACACTGTCGTGTTCTTTGCCAGAGGCGCCTTCCAGGCCAGGGTGATACCCTGGTCGGTGCCTCCTATCACCCTGACGGACCTCACGATTCGCTCCGGCTCCTGCTGGCCGGTAGGCGGGCTCACCAGCAGGTTTCTGGGGTTGCTATCTTGTGCCACATCTGGGAGGAGGAGGCCCTCTCCGGTGCCCACTCCAGCTCCCAGGGTAGGCACGGTGGAGGTGGTGATAACGTACCTTGCCACCAGCTTGTCATTGTAGGCAGCTGCTTCCATCCCGCTCACCTTCCCGCTCCACGGGCCTTTGGCGTTGGAGTCGGGGCTATCCGTGCTTTCTGAGTCCGTGATGATGAGAGATATGAAGGCCTCTGTCGCCCCCAGAAAGTTCTTTGCTTTACAGATGTACTCTCCAGAGTCGAGATAAGAGACTACAGGCAGGCCAAGAATAGACCAGCTCATCCCATCACTGGAAATCTCTTGGTGAACTGCAAGGAAGGAAAAATGTAAAATAAATAGGCAATAATCAATAGAATTAATAACAGGTTTTGTAGAATATTAAGATCCAATCTGCCAAATGTCTGCTCGATGCAGTAGAATCATCATTTCTTTTTGGCACCAAGATCATTACAAAATCAAAGTAAATCCAAGAAAAGGACATTAACACTAAAATTAGGTTATGTTGGGATTTACAGTGCTTCAGACCGAATATATGTGAAGCAGTTGAGCCTATTTCCTCCCAGTTGCCGTACAATTTGAAAAAAAAGCAGGAAAGGTTCTTCCATTAAAAAAAAAAAAAAGCTTAAAAGCTCTTATGTAGGTACAATACTTAAAAGAGTGGAAGGAGTAGGGGGTAACACGACCTAGTTGAACATTAGATGCAGTTCTCTGAGTCACAGAAAATACAAACAGTGGAGATTTTCTTCTAAAAACCATGTATGGACTAGTCGAGAGTATATGGAGAAAAAAATAGCTGAAGAATAATATCCCTTTTACTGCTAAGTTAGTGCAGGTTTTTATACTGAGCCAAACACAGGGACAGCTGATCGCTTACCACTGAACGATATGTACACAGCTGAGTGTTGATTTTCTCACTTGGTTTACCAGGAGGCTAAAACTAGCTTTTTTTGCCTTTTTCTATCTGCGCAGAAAAAAAGAGCTGGGATCATGCGGAAGGGCAGAGCTCCCTCTTCACTATTTAACCAGCCTCCTTAGGATGAGCACGTACTATCTCTGCCCTTTCTCACTGACAGGTAAGCCAGGGAGATGTCTCAAAGGCAAAGGTAAGACAGGACGCAAACTTCTCCCAAGCCCTCGCGGGGTCAGGATCCAGCCTTGGCAACCAGGGCACGTTCCAATGGCAGTGAAATACAATGGCAGCAGAAGTTACTTTTTCGGTTTAATGATTTACTGAACGGTTATATTAAAAATCATAAAGCTACCGGTCTTCCTAAGGCACTTCCCCATACATACAGACTGAGGGCTGTTTCTCACCCCTTTCTATTCAGAACACCAACATTTCAAACAGTCATATTATAGCATTGGCACAGAAGCTGCCATTGCTGAGAAATAATGTATATTTTCAGCCAACTTTTTATTGAAAGGTGCTAAAGTCTGATTTAATGGGGCACAAAATACATCATTCTCAGTTGCAGCTCAAAGTAAACTCAACATACGCTTTCAGGAAAGCATTCTCCGTTTTATTTTTTGTTGTGGTTCTCTTTCAAGCGTAGGAGGGATGTTCGCAGCACAATGGGTAGACATTATCATTATGAGGAGCAGCTCTGCTACATCCTGCACATCATGCACAACAGAGCAATGACACGTGCAGATCCCAAAAAAAGGATATTTATTACAAGTGGCTCTACTGCCGTGAAAGAAAAATGCTCTCTTCCCTATTTCTGTGCATTGAGGAGCCCAGTAACCCTCTGAAGATCAGACCCCATACTTAGCAATCTATCTGCTGAGTTTAGACCCTCTATGAAAGTCAGGGCCAGGCCTGGGAGACAGTAGCATTCAGGGGAGGTTGGAGGGATGAAGGTTCAGGTCCCGGTCTAAAACCTCTAGGGCAAAAAGCTAAGGACGACTGCCTTGAATGCAGCAAAGGTTTCTTCCCTACATTCCCCACACATTAAGGGGCCAACACTGCAATTTGGGGCCCAATCATTCCTGTGAATGGAAATGGAAACATGATCGGTCACAAAAACAGTGGTCGTTTGAAGGCTTCCCCCACAAGAGGGGTGAGCACGGAAGAGGGACCTGGTCAGCATTTCTCCCATAGAGCATTTTTCCAAGAGACCTCGTCAATCCATCAGAAATGAACCGTTTCTTGGAAGCATTGTCACTGAAGTAGTGTATCCTTCAGCAGTTTAGTGGCTCTTTTCTCTTTTAACATATCAGTAATGTTGCATGTTTGCAATCTTTTCTTTCCTTGCCACAGCAGATTTGAATCCCAGTTGAATTCATGTCAGACATCTCTCTGCCGGAGATGTTTACTAACTGATTCATAGTAGCTCATCATTACTCTCAAAGACCCATAAAATAATTCAGTGGGAAGCCTTTCCAGTGGCTGAATAACTAAATAACTAACCTAAAAAAGCCTCTTGCTGCAACTGGACATCTTTCATTTCTTCAGCTCCAACAGGTTTGAGCAGAAAACCCCTCAACGCGTCTCACCACCACCACAATTGTTACGAAACAAAGCAAAACCAACTTTTTACGCATGATGGTATACATTTATCTGATGATATTTACATCAACATGTAAGTTATTTCATAGCCTATAGAAAATCACAATGCTACAGTGAATTACACACGATACTATTGTGAATTATAGTGAATCTTATTTTTGCACCACTTTCTTTTTTTGGGTCTTTTATCCGTAGGAAGGATCTTTTGTCATAGAAGCTTCCATTGGGTGTACAGTCTGTAGAAAATAAAGGTGCCGGTCTCCCTCACTCAGTCCATGTGTACGAGAAAAGCTTAAACCAAACCCACCTGTGCCGTTTAGTTGAGCACCGTCAGCCCTTCTCCAGCTGAGCTCAGGAATGGGCACCCCCGTTGTCCCACATCGCAGTAGCACGGTGCTGCCCAGGATGGTCTTTACTTTGGCTACGGACGTATGTACGACGGGGCTTTGACACTTCCTTAGCTCGACTTGGCTGAAGAAGACTCCTGCAAGGCTCCGGGGGGTGAAGCATTTCAGCCTGGGCTCAATGAATGCTATGTTAGGAGACTGGAAATTTAGGAAATGGACCATTTCATACAGACTGCAGTCGCATACCCAAGGATTGTCTTGCAAGCCTGTCAAAATAAACCAGAGCACTAAGTCACTCCAACAGCACCTTTTGTTTCTCTCACGTTTGTTTCTATTTTTCAGCAG